GCTCCCAAGCGGCGCACTGTAGCAGTGCGCCACCGGGCCGACCCCTATGTACCTTTTTTCAATAGTGGTTTTTGAACTCACCTTACAGTCAATCAGCTTTATCCATCGTATCAGTGTGGGGCATTTTGAGTCATTTTCAAGCAGAGAAGTGCTGGAGCCAGCTCATATTGACTGGCAAGAGCCGACTTAAATTTTCAGGAATCTTGTGAGCCAGTTGATGTCACATTGGCAGCTGGAAATTGGCTGTGATAGGAGTATTTACACCATGGAAATCAGCAAATGATCAGAACTTTTTCTCCTGGGAGCTGGTTATTAAACATTACCAGCACACTACAGTTTTCTACCCATGTTAGAATCATGAAATTTTAGCCTAAGCAGGAACCTTTTAATCTGTGTGTGTGTGTGTGTCTGTCTCTGTCATTTTCTGTCTAGATGAGGCTTAGGAAAAGTGACTTGTCTGAAAGAAGTCAGTCAGAGGCTGGACTTTTTTTTTTAGAATTGTTGTTAGTCTTTGTCTGGAATATATTTTCATTTTTGTTTTAATTTACTTTTAAATTGAAATATAATTGATTATACATATTTATGGTTTACAGAGTTGACAGTATGTGAGGACCACCAAATCAATATTAGCATGTTGATTATTACAAATCATAATTACTCTTTGTGTCCCTTACCTGATTTCTCCCTACCCTGCTCTCCCTCCCCCTTTCCCACCTCTAGTAACCATAGATCTGTTCTCTCCTGAAAATTCAATGTAATGTTGTGGTTGGTCTTTCTTTCTTTTTTACTTCCCACTTATGAGTGATGACATGTGGTATTTCTCTTTCTGTGCCTGGTTTATTTCACTTAACATAATTTTCTCCAAGCTCATCCGTGTTGCTGCAAATGGCAAAATTTCATTCTTTTTAATGGCTGAGTAGTATTTCTTTGTGTATATATTCCACATTTTCCTTATCCAGTCATCTGTCGATGGACATTTAGGTTGTTTCCATATCTTGGCTGATCTAAATAGAGCTGCCATAAATATGGGAGTACAGGTATCCCTTTGACATGATGATTTCCATTCCTTTGGATATATATCCACAAATGGGATTGCTGGATCATATGGTATATCTATCTGTAGTTGTTTGAGAAATCTCCGTACTGTTTTCCATAATGTCTGTACTAATTTACAATCCCACCAATAGTGTAGAAGGGTTCCCCTTTCTCCAGGTCCTTGTCAACATTTGTTATTCTCAGTCTTTTTGATAATAGCCAGTCTTACTGGGGTGAAATGATACTTCAGTGTGGTTTTGATTTGCATTTCCC